AACAAGTAATATTTGAATCCTTTTTCGAATAATTTTTTGAAAACTTTTTCTTTGAAAATTTTCTCTTTCTTGAAAATTTCTTTTTGTCAAAATTTTCTTCAGGAGAATTATTAAAATATCTTTTCTTTGAAAATCTTTTCTTATGGAAAAGTTTTTTCGATTTTGAAGGAGGTAATACTTTCTCAAATCCATATTGTTCACAGAATGATCCTAACTCATTTCGAGTTTGAGATTTCTTTGTTTTCAATTTAGCTTTGAGTTTTAAATCATTGCATAAATTGAGAGCTTCCTTATTAATGAAATTAATAATTTCACCATATGTAAGCGTTTGGAGGTCATCAAATTCTTTGAAAATTGTATTTTTTACCTTTTCAGCGAAAAGTTTTGGAAGTCCAGAAATGAATTTTTCTTTCCAAAAAGATTGTTGACAATCTAATCTTTGCATGATACGAGATAAAAACATATCTTTGTACCATCTAAAATCTTGAAGTTTTGGGTATCTTAAATTCATAAGAATATCATTTTGAAGTTGCATTAAATTTTCTGGAGTACCAATAAAATGTTTGATAATGGTTAAAATAAGAACAGTAAAACTATCATTAATAGGTTCTTCATTATCATTGAGAATAATACCGTTATTATCATCACGCTTGACAGAGGAGAAGATAATATTTTTCTCAGTACTTGAGAGATAATTATCTCATCATTGACCAGGCTGTCCTGTGAATCCAAGAACAATATTATTAGTAGCTTCAATCCTTGAAGCACCTTTTGCAAGAAAGGTTTTGTAACAAATGGTCATTTGTCCCATTAGATTGATAATTTGGAGTTTAGTAAGTCCGTCTAAGTTCCATTCAACTACGGAATTACCGTCAAATTTCATTATTGTGTATATTGATGATGTTCTTATTTTTTCACAAAGTATATAATAACATTTTAAACATATTCGTTTATGTCATTAAGAAAAATGGTTTAGCAGTTTCTACTAAAAAGATTGTTTTATTTCAAACAAAAATTCGTTTTCTTGGTCATTTTATTCAAAATTCTACAATTACACCAATTCAAAGAAGTCTAGATTTCACTGACAAATTTTCAGATGAAATTTTAGATAAAAAAAGTTTGGAACGCTTTTTAGGTTGTGTCAATTATGTGGTCGATTTTGTCAAAAATATACGTCAAGTCTGTGTCTCATTATTCAAAAGATTATAAAAGAACCCTGACCCATGGAATTTTGAGTGTACGCATGCGATCCAAAAAATAAAAAAGATGGTAAAAAATATTCCATGTCTTTCAATACTTGACCCCACAGCCTCAATTATTGTTGAAACAGATGCCTCAAATATAGGATTCGGTGAAGTGTTAAAACAAATTTCACTAGAGTCATCTCAAGAACAATTAGTCAGATTTCATAGTGGAGTCTGGTCTGGTCCTCAAAAGAATTACTCCACTATCAAAAAAGAGATTTTATCAATAGTTCTTTGTATCTCAAAATTTCAAGATGATTTGATCAATAAAAAATTTATTTTGAAAACTGATTGCAAAGCCTCAAAAGATGTTTTACAAAAAGACGTAAAAAATCTTGTTTCAAAACAAATCTTTGCAAGATGACATGCTATTTTGTCCTATTTTGATTTCGAAATTCTTTATATTCAAGGAAAATAAAATTTCTTGGCAGACTTCCTCACAAGAAAGTTCATTCAAAAGAGTGAAAATGAGTTGGGCAAAACAAGTTGAAGAAGAGGATCAAAATCATTTTCAAACAAAAACTTCAAGAAAGAAGAAAAATTCAATTCCCTTCTTTGAAAATCTCTCAAAAGATAAAAAAAAGCTTCATCTTCATCAAATACTCTTTCAACCTTTGTCAAAAAATCAGATAAAAAATTCAAACAAAAAGCTGAATCATCAAACCCTTCAAACTACAAAAAAGCCATCCAAAGCACTGGAAAACTCCCTCAAATCAACCCTCCAAATACCTTCAAATACTTTACCAAGAATATTTCTGAAACTGTCTTTGACATGGAAACTTCTTGGTTCAATAGATATAAAGGTCTTGATGAATTCCTATCAAGCATCCTTCCTCAAAATTTTTGGTTTATGCCTTCCAATATTCAAAAATCCAGAGAATATTATGAGACTATCCTTCTTTTGACTAGATCAGCCATAATTTCTCATACTCCTGAACCAAAAGACAAATCAAAAATCATGTTTTCAAAAATCAGTATTACAAGAGTTTTGTCTTACGAAAACTGGGGACAAAATCCTTGGGAAGAAAAGAGACTTCGTCTCTCAAAAACAATTTTCACTACTCAAGAAACTTTCAATTATTTTGATTACCAGAATACTTGGTATAAAGTCTTTCTTTTTAGACCAATTACCTATTCTTGGTTCATTCTTTTTAATCAAAATTGTAATCCTCATTTTCCCAGTTGGTTTCAAACATGGTTTTTATATCATGGACTTGAAGAGAAAATTTTGCCCAGTCTCTTTCTTCAAGGATTTGAATATTTCAAAAATAAAGCAAAACCTTTTCTGAAATTTCAAGAAAATCTTTTGTTTCAATTCGCCTTCAATTTGAAAGTTTCATGGATTTTTTGTTGGGACTTCTTTCAATATCAAAATCTGAAAGATGATTTTACTTGTCAAAAAATTACAAGAAGATTCAAGATCAAATGGTGGTCAAAATTCAAAGAGACAAATTGCTGTCTCAAAGCAGTTCAATCATGGATTCAAGAATGAAAAAATTTAGGTGTACCTAAATTCTCTAAAAAGGAACAAGAAAGTCAAGCTGATTTCTTGACTAAAAAGCAAAGGATTATCTCAATGTTATCAAAATGTAAAGATTCTAAAGAACTCTTAGAAATTTACTAACAAATTTCTAAACAAGGATCTTCAAAATCAAAAGAATCAGATGATGAGCAAGAAGAATCTCAATTTTCTCAAAAAACTGATAATGGTGATGACTTAATCGATTTAGGTGATGAATATGCAAAGTTTTTTGCTCAAGAAAAGGTTTCAAAGAAATGACTACATGGACCCAGCTTTCTTGATGATTTGAGAAATTCAAGGGTCTACAAATCAAGAGAAATTCTCCTCAATTTTTGTCATGTTCAAAATCAATGTTGCAAAATTTGTCAAGATATTAATTAAATATGTGAGAAACATCAATCTCTATTTTAATAAAGAAAAAGTTATCTTTATTAAAGAAAGTCAAAAGTTGAAAACTTTTGTCAAAAGTTGGCTCTACTTTTCAAGATGCTTCATGATAATGTCGTCCACTTCTCTTTTCAATTTTCTTTCTCTCAAATGAAAGAAATTTCAAGTCCGGACTACATTATAAGATGACCTCAAGAGATCAGTAGAAGGCAGAACGAATTCAGCAAGAAGAAGTTTCTGTTTTCTTCATAATTTGTCTCTCAAATTTATTTTCATTTTTAAGAATCTTTGTAATAATTTTTCTCTTCAATAAAATTTTATTTATTTTCATAAATTTCTATTCTTCTATCTCCATACCAGTTCCCCTGGACCTTATATGGTATATATGAGTGTGTGTGTGTACACACACACACACACACACACACACACATATATATATATTTTTAACCACATTTTGGGATAAATAATAGCAAGGTGAAGAAGAAATTTGTTCTTTATTTGTAACTCTTCAGGTCCCATTTTGGGGGATACCTAGTAACTAGAGTAAAGTAGGTTATGCCTTGATTAGCTATCTCCATTTTTCGGATGAGTTTAACCTTGCAATTTAAGCATATAAATACTGGTTGATTATCTTTTGAATTTTAACGTAAAACTTCTGATAAATTACTTTGGTTATGATGTTATTGAATTTAAGCATATAAATATTGAGTGAAAATGGTTATTATGGTTGTATTGATTTCCTACTCCTGTTTCTATCCTCAGAAAATGGAACCCTTGTAAAAGAACAATTTATTATGAATTACTTTTACTAGCATATGAAATCACTCTGCTTCCACCTTGTTGTCTTTAAGAATTTGACTGTCTTAGCTCAGGACAACCACATTTTAAAAAAGGCTAGTGTGCTACAAATTGAATCCTAGCTCATTTTATGACTTCATCGGGAAGTACTCCTACTACAAGATGACTTCCTACTCATTTGATGATTATATCATGGAGTTACTTGGATGATTATATGATATGAATATATATGCAATGCTTATTGGCCAAGACAAGTGTTGTACCTCCACTAACTGTCATGAAGGTTCAAATGTGATTAGAAGACCAGATAAAGGCTTATTAAAGTTTTTTTGGTGTCAACAGGTTGTACTAATACATGACTGCGTTGTTTACTGGAGGTTTTCAAAGGAAAAAAATTGTTAACTTGTGAAATGAGATGAAGACCCTGGTGAATCTATCTTGTCAAAGTCGTGGAACATATTCTGTTTAATATGTCAAACTGGATGATATGGGAGATGTTCTTTTATTTATCCTCATCCTAGGTTATGGTCTGTTTACTTTGTACCAAGTACACGTAGCTTCTGGTTAGTGACTCATTGTAATCCATTAATGAAATAACTTGACAAAACGTCATGGTGATATAACTCCTCTTATAGAAATGTGACCCTCCACAGATAATTGACAATAATTTGCTTGGCAGATTCTCATGACTTATTCTTCTACATATAAGGGAAGATAATACACGCTTAAATGAAGGAAAAAGGCCAATATGTCACGTGACTTAATTGCAGCGAATACTGACCGTGTAGACCAGTTTCCTTGTTTCTCCAGAATTTGACATCTGCCTTATTATGAGCCCGTTTGGGAGTGATTTTTCATCCCAAAAAATTAATTTTTTGACCGTTATTTCACTATTCCAACCTTCATTTTTAACTTATTCTCTCACAGGTGACCCCCACTTTTATCCTAACGATCAAAAAATCAATTCTGAAAATCACTACCAAACAGGTCTTATATTTTGAATTGAAAAATGTTTAGCAGATTGAGAATATTCGTTATTTTGTTTGCAGGTCAGGGGCTTGTGCGAGAAGGCTAAAGAGATATTAATGGAGGAGAGTAATGTCCAGGCATGAACTTCTATTTACTGATTACTACAAATTTGGTTGTGCATTAAAATTTTTTAACTGGCCTGAACAAAATAAATACTCTACTGGAGTGTTTTATATGTTATATGAAGGCTTGGTGATTGCAGACTTGCAGCTAATATTTAGGACCTATACATTTTTGAAATTTAAATCAATCTGAGTATTTTGATATTAAATGATTCGTATTTTTGTAGGGAAAAGTATGACTGTTGAAGCAAACTTTTTCTGGCAATTCCTCCGTGGATATACAAGGGGTTATGGACTATTATGAGGAGAACAGATTAGGTCTACTGAAATGTGATACCCATATTTGCTCTAGGTGACTTTGCATATAAATTAGAAACCAATCTTTTGGCAATAGGAATTTAAAAATTAATAGGGAATAATGTCAACAAGAGCACATTACAGCTTAGTTGATTTTTTAAAGGCATTGTTTTTGTTGGGATTTTTCAGTCTTGCTTTAACTTCTAGATTCCTTTTACTCTTCTTTAAGGATAAAATTTTACTTGACAAATAGTCTTTTTGGTCTGAACTTCTGGGGTATAACTACTTCTAGTTTGCCATACCTATATAAATGATCAGTAATTGTTGCCTTAAACATATGCTTGCTCAAAAATGTTTCTTATCTGCTCCGGTTGAAATATTTTGCTCATTTGGTTGTTCCATGAAATATTATCATTAATTATCCCATCATGCTGATATGTTTAACTTGTGGCATGACATGCAGTAAGGATGGTCCATTTAAGCATTTTAATGTTTTCCTGTCATTAGTTTTCACTTGTTGTATCAGAATTTGGTGTGTGCAAGAGAAGTTAGATTGATTTTCTGTTACTGTGGTGCAGCCTGTAAAAAGCCCTGTGACAATTTGTGGTGATATTCATGGTCAATTTCATGATCTTGCTGAACTTTTCCGCATTGGAGGGAAGGTAATGTAGTTGCCATTTGTATTCATATGCTTGTATGCTTTTTGGTTTGAGCTAGGGGAAGTTTATATTTGAGACTGATAAACGGGGTAGAGGATGTAGGTTGCCTTATGATACAATAACAGTTTGAATTCTAACCAGCATTTCTTCGAGTCATTGATTTTTTAACGATTTTCTTTTAAAATGGAAAAGTTGCTTCCGTGTATACCTCATATTTCCTCTTTGTTTTTATTCTATTTATTCTAGTTCTATTTATATACAAAGTATGATATACCTGCACAGAAAGATTCTTTCTGCTTGTCTGTTTCACTGTATCTTAATTCATTTCATAGGTTGCAAATTGAAGATATAACCAGAACATGGGAAACGGGTTTTGGAAAAAAATAATATTATTGATCTGAACAGAAAATGTTGTACGTCTTGTTTAAAAACAAAAATGCATGATATGAGCAATTACATGGTGCTACATCTTTGTCTTCCGGACATCTTTTCTTCCTCCTATTGTCTTATATAATATCCTTCCATCATTTTTCTGGAATTTGTCCCTTGGTGTCTCATTTGCGCCTCCTAAATTTTTAGCAGATCATAGTGGATTGAATCTGTTTCCATATTATCCTTTTAAACTATGTTTAACTAGTGGACCAAGTGCAAGCAAGGCTTAGTGAGACTTCTTGTTGCTTAACCTCGCCCGTGAAGTATGCAGTAATGAGTTTCAACTGTTGGTTGGAAAAGAAGAAATATTCTTATAATGGCAGCACACTTTCTTTGCTTCATCATAGTGAAATTAATCATTAGAGGTTCACCTTGTTGCATCCATACCAGGCATGTCTACATTATCCTTCATCACTGGGTTCATTGGCATGGTTTTTCCTTTGCGAATCTGATTCACCAAATTGTAAATGCTGTCAGTCTTGTCTCTCTTATCAAACTTAGCTAGCTTTGTAGTAAATTGGTAATTAGAAGTGCCGATATGAATCTGATAACACATCTTTAGTATTCTAATATTATTTGTTTCTTGTTAACAGTGTCCGGATACAAATTATCTATTTATGGGAGATTATGTAGATCGTGGGTACTATTCTGTTGAAACTGTAACTGTAAGTACAAGCCAAATAATGGTTTCATTTACTATAGCAAAACTTTGCTTCTGTATTTGGATTTCAATGATAAAATAGCTGCCCTCCTACCCTTGATGTCTTCTCAGTTTTTATTTATTTATTTATTTTTCTTTGGTTGTGGCCGGTTGAGGTTTGAAGCAGTCCTGATGCGTGTATCTGAGATCCATTTGATTATAGTAGAGATTGTCCAGTATGCTTTATACAATTCGTTTCAGAGAGTGCTCAATCAGTTTAGATGCTAACATGCTAATTTCATGCAGCTTTTAGTGGCTCTGAAAGTGCGCTATCCTCAACGGATAACAATTCTTAGAGGAAATCATGAAAGTAGACAGGTATTATTTAATTTTCTATCGTCTCTTTTTGTCTCTTCCACTATTTTGATATCACAGGTATATCAAAGGCTTATTGCTGCTGAATAAATGGAGTTATTGAAATTAGGCAGCCCTTTTGCGCTTTCGTCTACTAACGCTAGTTTCACTTGTTTATAGTTGATCTCAAGGCATAGCTTGTGCTATGGGCAGTGTTATGGAACTGATACTTGCATAATACATGCTTAGTTATAATGACCCAGCCTCAAGCCAAAGCCATTAACTTACTGTCTGTCTGTTATGGGAGAGATTGATCCCATATTACCCCTTACAGATTTTTATTGCATCCTTAAAAGTTGAACTCATGACCTTTCCTTAAGAATGACTTAAGTTGAATCCCAAATTGGTATCAGGATTTAACTTAAGCCTTTTTTAAGGGAAGGTCGTGTGTTCGAATCTTAGGGATGTGATAGTAAACTGTGAGGAGTGAGATTCCCTCCTAAAGCTATCAGTAATTAAGAGAACGGCGGGGCACGAAGCTTTGGTTGATACAAAAAATGTGCTTGTTACAGAATTTCTTAACATTGTTTTTACTAAGTGTGATAGTGTGGCTAAACTAGTTGCAACCTGTTTAGTGTTCTTTGAATTTAATTTTTGTTGAGTTAACCGCCCTAACCTATTTTCATGAAATTTTATGTATCAAAATTAACTGATTTTGGTTGAAGCCAGTGTTATTTACTCAGATATTAGTGGTCTGGCCTCATTTTCATTGCTTTTGTTATTAGGTGGATCTTTATAATGCGATGGCAATTTTTTGTTCTTTATCTTATTAATTATCTGGATATAGTTCATACGTTTATTGAACCACGTATAATTTTCTGTGGTTAATGCTGGACTAAGTCTTTGTTTTTGTCCACAGATTACACAAGTCTATGGATTTTATGATGAATGCCTGCGGAAGTGAGTTCATGATTCCCCCCTTAATTTGTCTGAAGAATTGATTATCATTTACTTATATTCTCATACCGATTGCAGCTGGTTAATTAAGTAATTGGTTTGAGAAGATAGTTATAATTTGCATCAAACCAAGATTAATAAGTTCTAAATCTAAACAATATTCTGGGTTGAGGTTGTCAGATGATGGGTGGCATCCAATTTTGGTAACTGTTTCTATACGGCTAAACTGAATAATTACCTATACAGAACAAGTAAATTGAGTGCTCAGAGAGTTTTATTAATAGGGGAAGATTCGTAGAGGGAATGCCTAGTGTCAGGTTCACTTTTAGATAAGTCATCATTTCTCTGCATTCTCATTGAATTAGACATGCCTGGGAACAAGCTAACTCGCAGCTTCTGAAAGCCAAAGTGGGTATGAGCTTGTGAGACTATCACTGTTGGGAATAAATATTATCAAGATCTTGATTGCATGTCATTTACGCATTACTATTTTATATGTTTATAAATGTGTTGGAATAGATCATGAAGTAAGAAATATAATTGCGGTTCTATACCTATGGACAAAATGATGGCAGAATGTGTAAATGCACGAGGTAGATTAATGGACTAAGGTTTATGATGTGGACTTGATTCATGGGTACATATCCTTATAGTTGCTCTTGTGGTTTTAAATGACTTGGAGGATGAAAAACAGGTTCTTTTCTAGATCGCGAGTTTGACTACTTAATATACAAAGTTGGAGAATTATAATCCAGTTACCAATCAGTGTCACTTGAATGCTAAATTCAGAACTTCCATGGATTATGTGACATAGGATCAAGCATTAAAAATGCTATCTAATTTCATTATCTGCTTTTATATGACTTGATAAACGAGTATTCTAAGTACTATTTTAATTTGTCATGTGCTTTTATTATATATACAGCTAGTTAGATCTATTTACATGGAATATTAGCATCTCTCTTTTGTTTGTGATACTGTTAATAAACTCTCCTTTTGGTTATAGGTATGGAAATGCTAATGTTTGGAAGATATTCACAGATCTGTTTGACTATTTCCCACTGACTGCATTGGTTAGTAGAACTCGCTCCCCATTATCATCTTCCCGTTGTTTTGGAAAGGTTTTACTCCTGTACCCTTGATGACTTGGGTGAAAAGTCGATCTTGGAATATTTCCTTTAGCCTAGCATGGCATATAGAAATGAGAAAGGAAAGAAATTTAAGTACTCAAATTGTCTTAGGTATAAAATATGCAATTCAGTAAATTAATTGTGTATGGATTAACGTGAAATATCAAACTTGTACTGATCTAAAGAAATTCCCAAGTTGCCCACTGTCCAGAAATTCGGTGGATTTACTCCACTGTTATATGCACACAAAAACTGCAAGTTAGAAACAAATTTCGGTGTATGAGATGCGTATATTGCTTTATCATGTATGTTTTTCCGTAATGATTTTGAATGTTTAGATTCTATGCTTATATTCTTTTAAAGCTTCTTAACTTGGTAATTAATTTGCATGAGCTGAGCTTTTGAATTCGTGGGATGAACTTCACGCCATCATTAGAATCATTGTAAAATTAGATGTAAAAGAATAAGCCCATGCTTGGTTTTGCTAAAAATTAGATTTTTAGTAGATTTTGATTAAAATTAATGAAATGTGGGTTTGAAAAGTTGATAAAAGTTGTTTGTTCCTTGAAATGTGTTGTTAAAACTAATTGTGGACTTTGAGTTAGATTGTCATCAACTTTTTTAGCTAAACCAAACATGGGCCAAATTTTCCGACAAGGCATATTAGTTGTGTATATGACTAGTAGTCAATTGACATTGACTCACACTCAATTGTAGGATGTAAAGTTTTTGTAAATGATGTGTGACGTGTATGTCTGACATTCCTATGGTTCAAATAAATGAGAAGGATATTCTTGTTAGAAGTAACTTCATTCCTTTATCTTAATTTCTTTTCGATCTAAAGGCTTGATGGCCTTTATAAAAAAAATGCTGAACTCTAACCTTGAGGGCCCCCACTACTCCCGCCCTTGGAGCATCATGAGGTAGATTTCAGTAGGCGAGGAAACAAGAGCTTGTCCGTACACTGGAGTTCACAAAGAGTCCAATTTCATATTTTAAGAATCGAACCCTGTTGTGCATGTGGCTCATATACAGTGGAATACAGGCCTTGGATCAAATGGGCCGATGCCGGCGCGGAGCGACGGCATGTCCGCGCCGGCATCAGCCTTGCGTGGGTTTAATTTATTGTTTGGTTGTTAGGGACGCTGAATGGGTTGGAGGTGCGGGGGCAAGGCCCCGCGGTATGGTACAGGGGTATTTTCTGTACGGGCCCAGGCTAGGGTTAGTATAAATAATATGTTGTAACCCTATTTTTCATAACTGAATAAAGAAATCTCCGCTTCGCTCTCGTGGACGTAGGCACATCGTCGAACCACGTAAAATTCTTGTGTTGATTTCCTTTTTCATCTCTTTAATATCGAACATAAAATCCAACAACTGGAATCAGAGCTAGGTTCAGATGGCGAGTTCTTCGATTGCAAAATTTGATGTGATGAAGTTTGACGGATTTGGGAACTTCGGATTATGGCAGCGAAGGGTGAAGGATTTGTTGGCGTAGCAAGGGATGATGAAGGCACTATCTGAGAAGAAACCAGAGGGTACATCAGATGCCGATTGGGAAGAGCTCGAGGCACGAGCAGTTGGTACAATTCGGCTTTGTTTGGCGGACGAAATCATGTATCACGTCATGGACGTTAAGTCTCTGGCGAAGGTTTGGGAGAAATTGGAGAGTCGTTATATGTCAAAGTCTCTCACGAACAAGCTGCATCTAAAGCAGCGACTGTATGGGCTGAAGATGTTGGAGGGTACGGATCTGATTCAACACACCAATGTGTTCAATCAGATCATCAGCGATCTATTGCGACTTGAAATCAAGTTTGATGATGAAGACAAGGCAATGATTTTGTTGTGCTCACTGCCTCCTTCGTACGACCATCTGGTGACCACGTTGACGTGGGGTAAAGAGACTTTCGAATTGGAGGAAGTTACATCAGCCCTGTTAGCCTACAACCTGCGGAAACTGCGTACTGGTGAAACTTCACAGGGTGAAGGGTTGATCGTAAAGGGCTACCAGGATCGTGGGAGAAGGAAGGACAGGGGTGTTTCTTTTAGAGGGAACACAAGATCAAAATCTAGGAATCAAAATAAGAAAAACGTCAAGTGTTACAAATGCCATCAGATGGGCCACTTTAAGAGAGATTGTCCCAATAAGAAGCAGAGTGATGAAAGGAAAGGTGATGGGTCCTCAAACTCAGCTAGTGTTGCAGAAGGAGACTCGGATTCTGGAGATGGAGACATGTTATCAGTCTCTGCAGGTAATTCTGTAAAATTAAATGACTGTTGGGTACTTGATTCAGCATGTTCATATCACATGTGTCCTCATCGGGATTGGTTTCATTCATATCGTTCTGATAATTTTGGATTTGTTCTGATGGGTAATGATGCATCATGTAAGGTCATTGGAATGGGGTCCATAAATTTTAAAATGTTCGATGGTGTGATAAGGACCATGGAAAATGTTAGGCATGTACATGAGTTGAAAAAGAATCTAATTTCTTTAGGCATTTTAGACACAAACGGTTACTCTTATAAGTCAGAGTGTGGGGCTTTAACAGTGAAAAAAGGGGCTATGATTGTGATGAAGGGTCAGAAATTGGTAGGAAATATCTACAAACTACTCGGGGATACAATTGTAGGTGGAGTTGCTATAGCAGAATCAGAGTCAGATGACACTCTTCTATGGCATATGCGACTGGGGCATATAGGAGAACGTGACATGGTTGAGCTTCACAAGAGGAATTTGTTGAAGGGGGTAAAATCATGCAAGTTGAATTTCTGCAACTTCTGTGTACTTGGAAAACAGTCTAGAGTACAGTTCAAGATGGGAAAACACAAGACAGAGGGAATTCTTGATTATGTGCACTCAGATGTTTGGGGACCAGTGAGGGAGTTGTCCAAAGGTGGATTTCAGTACTTTATTACTTTCATTGATGACTTCTCTAGAGAAATTTGGGTTATTTTATGAAGCACAAGTCTGAAGCTTTTGCCAAGTTCAAATTATGGAAAGCAGAAGTAGAGAACCAGATGGACAGAAAAATTAAGTATTTGAGGACAAATAACGGTACAGAGTATATAGATTTACAGTTTCTGAGATTTTGTGAGGAGCATGGTATTCAGCGGCACTATACAGTTCGCAAGACACCGCAACAGAATGGTGTTACGGAAAGGATGAACAGAACAATTGCAGAACGGGCAAGATGTTTGAGGCTAAACGCAAGGCTCTCGAAGAGTTTTTGGGCAAAAGCAGTGAACATGGCATGTTATGTCATAAACAGATCACCACGAGCAGCACTAGATGGGAAAGTTGCAGAGGAAGTTTGGACAGGTAATGAAGTTGATTATTTTGAATTGAGAGTATTTGGTTGTCCGGCGTATGTGCATGTATCTAGTGATCAGCGATCCAAACTTGATTCGAAATCAAAAAAGCGCATTTTTCTGGGCTATGTTAAAGGTGTAAAGGGATACAAGTTTTGGGATCTAGAGGCAAGGAAGATGGTAATAAGTAGGGATGCAGTTTTTGATGAAGCATTCATGCTTAAAGCTTCTACAGATAAAGAGAAGCTCAATTCAGACGAGGACAGAGGTAAAAGCCAAGTGGTGCAAGTAGAGCTAGACATGTTAACACAGAAATTAATGCTCAGGGAGTAGATAGTTCTGGGTCAGAGGTGGAGCAGTATCATAGTGTTGCCTTAAACAGACCACGTTGCACTACCAAACCACCAGCAAAGTATGGATTTGAGGATTCGGTTTCTTATGCACTCATTACCAGCAATAGCGATTCTATAACTTTTCAGGATGCCATTGGTAGTCAGGAGAAAGGTAAATGGATAGAGGCTATGACGGAGGAAATTGAGTCACTCCATAAAAATGATACTTGGGATTTGGTGGAGCTTCCAGAGAGGAAGAAACAGATAGGGTGTAAGTGGGTATATAGAAAGAAAGAAGCAATGTTAGAAAAGGAAGGAGAAAGATACAAGGCTCGATTAGTAGCAAAGGGATACTCACAGAGGAAGCGAGTAGATTATAATGAAATTTTCTCTCCGGTCGTTAGACACACTTCCATCAGGATTGTTTTGGCAATGGTGGCTAATTTTGATTTGGAGTTAGAGCAGCTAGATGTGAAGACTGCTTTCTTTCATGATGATTTGGAGGAACAGATTTTCATGGAGCAGCCAGAAGAGTTTTTGGAACCAGGAACAAAGAATTTTGTGTGTAAACTGAAGAAGTTTTTATACGGGTTTAAGCAGTCTCCACGGCAATGGTACAAGAAGTTCGACTCTCATATGATTCAGATTGGCTACAGTCGTTGTGAGTATGATTGTTGCGTATACTACAAAGTTCTTGAGGATAACTCATATATTTTCTTAATGTTGTATGTGGACGACATGTTAATTGCTGCCAAGAATATGGATGAGGTAGACAAATTGAAATCTTTGTTGAGCAGTAAGTTTGATATGAAAGACTTGGGACAGGCTAAGAAAATTCTTGGCATGGAGATCAACAGAGATAGGAAAGCCAGAAAATCATGGGTGTCTCAGAAAAACTATTTGAAGAAAGTGTTAGAGAGGTTTAGCATGTCAGATGCAAAATCAGTTGTCACATCACTTGCAAATCACTTCAGATTGTCTAATAATCAGTGCCCAAAGAGTAAAGAAGATGTTGCAGAGATGTCAAAGGTACATTATGCCAGCGCAGTTGGATGTTTGATGTATGCAATGGTGTGTACCAGACCAGATTTAGCACATGCAGTCAGTGTGGTTAGTAAGTATATGGCTAATCCTGGTAGAGAGCATTGGAGAGCTGTAAAGTGGATTTTTAAGTACTTGAAAGGTATAATGGAGTGCGGGATCAAGTTTGAGAGACAACATGGTGATATTTCAGTTCAAGGATATTTAGATGCAGATTATGCAGGGACTTGGATGATAGAAGGTCCCATACAGGTTATGTTTTCACACTCACAGGTGGGCCCATATGTTGGAGGTCAATGGTGCAATCACTTGTGGCATTATCTACAACTGAAGCAGAGTACATGGCGGCAACTGAGGCAGCTAAGGAATTATTGTGGTTGAAAGGGCTTGTCAGGGAACTTGGGATCAAGCAAGATGGAATGAAGCTGTACTGTGATAGTTAGAGCGCCATCTTCCTAGCTAAGAATCAGATTTATCATGCAAGAACCAAGCACATTGATGTGAGATTTCATATGATATGAGAGTTGGTTACTTTAGGAGAGTTGTTGTTGGAGAAGGTGCATACCTCAGAGAACGCAGCAGACATGATGACAAAGCCGATCACAATGGATAGGTTCAAGCATTGCTTGAACTTGATTAACATCTCTAGTTATTAGAGAGGATGTGTCCCAACCCATTGGTCCTAGATGGTGTGGTTTTTTTCCAGGTTATGTTTTTTTTCCTAAGGGGTGAATATTCGTTAAGGTGGAGATTGTTGTGCATGTGGCTCATATAGAGTGGAACACAGGCCCTGGATCAACTGGGCCGATGCCGGCGTGGAGCGGAGCGACAGTATTGGCCTTGCGCGAGTTTAATTCATTGTCTGGTTGTTAGGGATGCTGAATGGGTTGGGGGGGCGGGGGCAACGCCCCCGCGGTAGGGTACAGGGATATTTCTGTACGGGCCTTAAAATTTTATAAGGGCCCAGGCAAGGGTTAGTGTAAATAATATGTTGTAACCCTATTTTTCATAACTGAATAAAGAAATCTCCGCTTCACTCTCGTGGACGTAGGCACATCGCCGAACCACGTAAAATTCTTGTGTTGATTTCCGTTTTTCATTTCTTTAATATTGTGCATAAAATCCAACAAACCCTCACACTGCGGTTGTCAACAACGCTGAGATTACCTCACTCCCGTCCTTTGCACCACTAGGTTATGTCCCGGGGGCTGGCTTGATGGCCTTTATAGTTGCTATACATAGCTGCCAGTTTCTTTTCCAAAACTCAAATTGACTGACTAATATATTAGTTTATCGAGCTTGCAAGTTGATTCTAATGTTGTGATCTTTATGTAGGTTGAATCAGAAATATTTTGTCTGCATGGTGGATTGTCCCCCTCTGTTGAAACTCTTGATAATATAAGAAACTTTGATCGTGTTCAAGAAGTTCCACATGAAGGTCCGATGTGTGATTTATTGTGGTCTGATCCAGATGATCGTTGCGGTTGGGGCATCTCCCCTCGTGGTGCTGGATACACGTTTGGCCAGGTACTGTCATCTATTTATTGAGTGTCACTTCATTCACATTTTTTCTTTCACCTGATTAATTCCATTACCATATTATAGGACATTTCGGAGCAATTCAATCATACCAACAACTTAAAGCTAATTGCTAGAGCTCATCAGCTTGTTATGGAGGGATATAACTGGGCCCATGTAATTAATTCAATTCAGTTACACTTTAGACCATGTATTAGTTCGGTTACTGTTATTAGAGGCGGCATCCATAATTGATTTGACTTTTTACAACAGGAACAAAAGGTTGTCACTATTTTTAGTGCACCAAATTATTGCTATCGCTGTGGAAATATGGCATCCATTTTGGAAGTTGATGACTGCAGAGAGCATACATTTATCCAGGTTCCCCCCTCTATCTCTCTCTGTGTGTGTGCATGTGCTAATGCTCGTTACCTGTCTCTACCATTTATTCCTCGTCTTTCTAGGCATTTTCGTGTTGTGCTGGGATTTTTCAAAGAATGAGGGACGTAATGAATTAGTATTGGTAGTTTTTGATTTTTTCTGTTGCAGTTTGAGCCAGCTCCACGAAGAGGGGAACCTGATATTACTCGAAGAACACCTGATTATTTCTTATAGAGCTGATAGTTACTGACTTGATGTTCGCATGGTGATTAATTGGAGTTGATTACATGTCCTCCACTGAGAGTTGAGCTTCTCAATTTACTGGGCCCTTTTGAAAGTGGAAAGTCATGTAAAATGCTAGATATGGTTCTATGTTAGAGTGGTCCTTGGAAGTTAGTGATAGTGATGCTATATTGTATCATTTCAAATATTTTTTGTTGATGTTATTTTCTTCCTTTTAGTATTTTTTTTTTTTGGGTTCTTGATTTTCTTCTTAATTTGCAAATGGTTGGAAAAAGGTGTTCTGTAGAAGTAATGAAGAGTTTAATTCAGTCGCTTGCTATAAATCTCTCTTGTCAATCTTGACTGAATTGTACGGCGATCATTCTAATTAGCGTACAATATCTTGTTTACTGTTTTTGCTTGATAATTGACTGTTCGTGCTTGCCCAGAAATGCATCGTTAATGTATTTTTGCACTCTTAAATTTACTGTCTTGTTTATTTGTATTGGAAACTATTCCTATTTGTGTATTATGGTAAAGTCTAGTAGCCATGCATTACTTTAGGCACAGAAGTTGCTGGTAAATTATAAGTTAGACTAGTTGAATGACATTGATAAGATGGCTTAGAATTTGGACAGCGAATTCAGCCTTGAGTTTGAACATTATCTATAATACAAATATACATGAATTTATTTTTAAAAAAAAAGTAAGGAAAAGGGTATACATTTTTAGGGGCGGACACGGGCTATAGCACGGTCGAGCTCATGTTTGGATCCGCGAGTGAATTTGGTTATATTATCTTGCAGTACTTTTAAATTCACTCCATTAGGCCCATTAACCTGCTCTTGTCTCTTATATAAAATGGATTTTGCTTGTTGTACAGGTCCTGTGAAAGGACCCCTATACAGAATACTCACAATATAGGGGGTTGCGGGATTTTTTATTTTTTATTTTAAATAATCACCCACCCCAACCACTCCTTCACGCGAGTATTCTACATCAGGCAAAATTCATCTAAAATTATGTTGGGGAAGTGAATACCAGGTTTCGACCAGTAGCTGCCAGCTTTTGGGCACATCGTGATCATCAGACTTCATGTTACATTTCTCTTGTTAATTGAAGCTTGTTTCTTCCTACATTGAATTTAATTTTGATGTCATTCAGGCCATGTTAGATGTAGTATTACGTGCAACAGAGAAGATTTTAATTCTTTTTCTTCATTAATCCTATCCAATCTAGCATTTGATCGAAGACCGCGTTCTTCTGGACTAGATGTCGTCGTCACGTTGTCATGGGATATATGTTTTTTTTTTTTTTTTTAATGACAGAAGAATTCACTCGCTACCCTTCGGACTGATGTAATAACCTGCAGACCACGTCAGTCAGATAAATCGCACTAGGCAAGATCGAGAATGTCGATAGGAGAAATCAAATTTGTGACCAAAGACCTCAACGCTCACATATTCCACCAACTTAATCACTCCATGAGGGGATATATGTTTTTTAACATAATGCATCGTGCAAGAGAAAACAAAATTATCAACGAATAAGGTTGCTTCTGTGATTGTCAATGATGGGAATATATTTGTACTCGGAATCATTGGAACCAAAACCGAATCGTTTGAATTTAGTTCTAATGAGTTAACATTCAAATTATTTTTTAAATATTTAATATAAATAGAGAAAATAAAATATACTATCAATCACATATTTCAACACTTTCTTAGTTTATTACAAATATTGAAAAAAATTCAATATTTAGTATAACAGTATTCAAGTCTGATTGTTGCTCAGCGTATCATTTATTCGTTTCTCAAGTAGGATTTATGCGGTGGACAACGCTTAAATTGCTAGGGGTAGTATAAATGTTAGGAATAGATATGACTGAAAGTGATATGATTCAATTATTCAAATGAATGAATTTCATTTTTAGGGCACTTACCATTTAGGCCATTTAAACTTTTTTTCGTTGGATCTTACAAATTTGCTATTTGTTCGATTTGGGTCGCTGGTTAGGGTGAACAATTGTAATGTTCTAGCGTTGGATAACCATGTTTCTAAATGCAAGAACTAAGAATTGACTTGCAACCGGTTGATTCAGGGTTCCATTCCCAATGGGATCCCATTTTTATTTTTTTTGGGGAATCGATTCGCTGTTAGAATTTTGTAATGAATCAAATTTATATGATTATTTAAGTGGAATTCATTATTTGGTGAATGAGAAATAAACCAAATGTAAGACGCTTAATACTTGAAATTGTTGGAAAATTGTATAAAATATTGTGGGATATTCTAGAAATATATGGATAAAAAAATGTATCTTTTCATATGAAGGATCATGAACTCTTGATATAGGTATGATTAATTTTCAATAATTGTGTCTCTTAATGTATAGAAATAAATTTCAAGAGGTGTGTTTCTTGGTATGATTGTGTCTTTTGACATACCTTTCCAACTACTATATATAGACCCCGTGTGTTTGGATTTTATCAATTCATAATTTCATATAATTTCATTTCATGTTACACTTTGATTTTGCATAAAATATTTGCATCAAAGTCATGGTTATGGTAGAAAGAGAATTCTGTTCGAGTTCGTTGGTCTAAGTCATTTGGAGTGTTTCTATGACTAGACATGATCATTGTATCTTAGAAGATGATTATCAAAAAATCGTTAGCATCGATACAGGGCAAATTCATCTTAAGGAGAAAGTGTCCAACACTTGTCTCGGCCAAAATCCATCACTTGCATTTTCTTTCTTCATTTTCTGATTATTTTAATCATACTTTGATTTTAGAAAATGTTTAACATTATTAATATATTTATGGTGCAAGGTTCAATTCAAAGAATGACTTGCTTTCATTTAAGAATCAAAAGGGATGAATCCATATCCATGCAATCGAATTCGGTAACTATTATTGTTTTGCTCTTCAAATTCATTTTGGTAAGTCAAAATTACGTTTCGATTTCGTGAACATAAACGGTATAATTTTTGTGAATATAATATGCACAATATCGGTATAATTTTCCAACATTCACAACCTTTAGTTTCTATACGGTTCTGATTAAAATGCCTACCCCTAATATAGAATCATACAAAATGGCCATGATAGTTGTAAGTAGGGAAAATCTTTAAACAAATAAAAAGTATTTTTTATGCGAAGGGATAGAAAATGTTACGAAAGGATATAATTGTTTTGCTCAGAGCATTTAAATCATATGACCGTTTTTGCGTCAATTACTTCTAACCACAGTTTTGTGCAATCTTAAATAATATTTTAATTATTATTTAGTTATTCAGAATTTGATGGAATTTATATTTATTTATTTTTCATATTGATAAGTGTTTTTTCACACTTATTTAGGTCACAAATATGACTTAATAACGAGCAAAATGACTGAATTGTGACTTAATCTCGTGCATTTGTGAATTGTAGGGAACAACGATGAACATGGTGAAATTCAGGAGAAAAGACGCGAAAAAGGACTAAAATGATGCAAAGTGAAAGTTCAGGGACCAAAGTGTAAATATCCAAAAGTTGATCCGATGAACAAATCGAGAAATCGATTAAGCCAATTACCAATTGACGATATCGTGGGGGTGATGAATTGAAAAGAATGAAGAGGAGATGCCAACAAGTGAAGGATGCAAGTGGGAGGATCAAAACGCACATCTGCCATAGTCGATAGTACTATGCGACCGCATAGTACTATCCTCTATGCGGTCGCATAGTAGCATACCGAAAACAATGATGCTCCAAAAATTTACTCTATGCGATCGCATAGAGTTGCTTTATGCGGTCGCATAGAGCAATTCTCTTCAGTTTCATTTTTCTTCCGAAACTCTTATGGAAATAATATTTTTAGGGTCCTATAAATGCAAAAACTCGACCAGAACGTAAGGGACGCCGTTTTTACATGTTTTTGAGAGATTTTGAAAGAGAAACGAAGGATAGAATAAGAGAACGACATCGCGCCAAGTGAAGATCGAATTGAAGATTGATTCGGGTGATGTCGTTTCTTCAAATATTTTTATGTTTTATTCTTTTTAGCATGTTAGGCTAGATTTATCATTGCTAGGAGATCGATAAACCTTGTAATACTACGTTTAATTGTTGCTTTGGATTTTTGATATATTTGAACATAAGTTCCGGATTTGATTGATTTATTACATTTTTATTTTCATATGATTATTGTGCACATAATTATATGATCGTGATGGCTTGTTTTATGCACTCGAAAGAAAGAAAATATGTTCGACATAGTATAAATCATCATAGGGTCCGATAGGGAATAGAAATATACCTCTATGCCTTGTGTGAATCATTGGATATTCGTGAATTTATAATGAATGTCGGTATGTTAGTATTCGTCATAGAAATATAGTCGAATCATATATTGAGATATGTTTGGCATTGCTCGAAAGAGATTGCTAAATTAAAATAGGAATATTGATTCATTTTTGGTGGAACTGTGTGTCAAAATTGCATAATTGACAATTGAATGAGTATTGCTTGGGGATTCGTGATCCTAGTGCGTTAGTACATCAATTAATTCCATAAAATTCTAGTTAAATTGCATCCAAATTATTTTGCACTTAGTATAATTCTTCATTCATAATTGCATTCAACGGTTACATTTTGTTAGTTAATGTACAAAACCTCAATTTGATTTTAGTGTTTCGGTTAAGGTCATAATAGGTTAATTCGAACTAATTCAATCCTTGTGGGATCAATATTTGGACTCATAGTCCATTATATTACTTGTTAACAAACCGTACACTTGCGGTGGATTTTAAATCGGAACAAATAATTTCGCGAACACATATTTTTGTTACTTTATATATTAAAAAAAATTCCGTTATTAAATTAAATTATTAGGACATTTTTATACTTAATTACCACCCACAATAATGATTTTATTATGAATTTAAAATTATTATTTATTACCTTTAGGAAAACTATGGACTTTTTCGTCAATAATACTAATTTTTTTTTTTAGTTTTATTATGTATTCAACAATAAAATTTCAGTCAATAAATTAAATGTATTAGATTAAATATTTTTAATTATTATTCGCAGAAAAATCTGACTCAAAAATCCAATCACTAAAATTATTAGGAATGAAAATTTCCAAACTAAATAATTGTTGAATATGATGTTCCAATATCCTTTTGCTTAATTTTTCATTTTTCATAGCTTGTGACAGAATATTTATATATTATTTTTATTTTTAATTTAATTTTTTATACTTAAATTTCTTT